TATATATATATATATATATATATATTATATATGTGCCGATTAATATATATATATATATATATTATATTGAATATTTTATTTTGGTTTGTCATTTTAATTATGAAAATAATTATTTTGACATAAACTATTTAAAGTATATTTGTATACTTGTTTAAAAATGATATGACTATTTGTATTTGATTTAAAATTAATTTAATATTAATTTTTGATGTCAAATAAAATACACTTTGAACATTTAAGTGGAGAAGAATTTTGAAAATCCTTCTCACAATCACAACCATATTTCTTTCGGCCATGGGATGTTAATGAGGACAAAATTGTTTTGACTTTGCATTTTAAAGATGTAGGAAATTTCCTAATTTGTCATTAAGTGTATAATTGGATTTTAAAATCCACTTTAATGTTTCATATAATGATGAACACACATTCATCAATTTGGGCTAGAAAAAAAAAGGTTTCGGCCATCACATTTCTTAGAGAGAGAAAGTTTATTTTGTGTTCCATTAATATCATTTTGTGTATAGAAAATATCTATAATATTTTCTAAATATTATTAGAAATATTTTCTATAGAAATATACAAGATTATTATTATCCCAATTTTAATCTTTATATTTTATACTACTATAATCTTTACTAGCATAAAGATTGTGGTAGACTCTGGCGTTGTTCGTGTGTCAAAGTTGGAGACCGGACGCTTGAACGGTTACGTTTGCACTTTCAAAGCTCTTCCTACGACTTCTTTATTTTTACCTCTTACGAAGAAAGGTATAAATTTCTTACCTACTATAAGTTTTAGTACGTGATTCTGGGCAAGATAATCATGTTAGGATGTTAAAATTTATATATTCCGCTGCCTATCCTTGCATGGTTATCTTTCAGTGGTATCAGAGCCAACGTACAAAACTATCGTTTTACGTTTGAATTTTAAAATTTTAAAAGTCAAAGTTTTAACTTGGTAATTATTAAAATTCAAAAATTGGTAAAATGATTTTATCTAGTCTTGGAATAAGTATTGGACTTAAATAAATCATTGAAAATGAATTTTAAATTTATTTATTTTATTTCTACCCGTAATATATATATATATATATAATATATATATATATATATATATATATATATATATATATAATTATATATATTTTGATTTTTCGAAATATATATTTATATATATTGTAGAAATAGTAAATATAATTTTATTTTGACATAAAACATCATTTTATGATTGATAAAATTATATTGTAATTTTTGAATGTATTATTTCCTATTTTGAATTTATTGTATTTATTTAGGTGAAAACCGAAAATAAATATGGGAAAATTCAAAATGAACTTTATTAAACTTGGAAATATTATTTCTAAGTTGAATAAGGTTGTTGATAAATATATTGTTCAAAATAATATTATTTAGTAATTAAATAAATATAGATTTATATATGTACTCGGTTTTATTACCGAAATATTATATATATTTGTATATTTGTATTTTAATTACATAAATGACTAATATATATTTTGGAAAGTTATATCTCAGTAAGAAAAAGAATGTTTTTCAAAATATTAAATTTTTGTAATTTAATATTTTCGAAATCAATTTAAATGGCTTTTTATAACTTATTGAGATTTAACTAATATATTTTAGAAATAATGATTTATAAATTTTGGAAATATTATTTCTAGGTTTATAAATGTTAAAAATAACTACTGGAAGTTGAAATTTAATTTTCATGATTTTTGCAAAATTGTTTCAAAATTTTAATGGCCTTTTTGAATAGAATTTTTCAAAAAGGGCATTTTGGTCATTTGGAATATTCTGGATATTGTTTTTATGCTGGCAGAATATCTAGAGTATATAAAATGATTTTATAAAATTTTATTAGATTTATTTGGACATCTAATTTAATTTTATGAGTTTCAGAAAATATTTACTCCCGTAGTATTTTTCTAGAACTGTCTGGGGTGAGCGTGGTTCATCCGGTATATGTATATCTCTATTGCTTGTGTGGATGTATGATATGCATGGTGGATGATTGTGGCTATAGTTTATTTGATTATAATACGGCCTGCGTGTCGTGCCTTATCTCTTAAACTCTTGTTGTAAATCTATTTCTCTCTTACCTCAACCGAGAATTCTTTTCTCACGTGGTGGTTAGAAGATGAAAAGATATAAAGACCGTTTGAAGAAATCTAAAAGAATGGAGATAGCCCGAAGTCCAAGTGCCCGGATGCCAGTGGGAGCTATCATTTTATTTTTCTTTTAGGGGCCACAATCATTACACGTTTATTTACTGCGTTTTGTGAATGCATGTTGAATGTATGTTGAATGCTAGTAATGGACATGTGCGCGACCATGTCGATAGGTGAGATCGAAATTATAAATCCCTCACGAATATTAAGTCTGTTGCCTTCTGACGCCCGGCACCTATCCGGCTAATATGCACTGTCATGTACTCAGTCTCAGCAGAGCATAGTACGGTGTATGTTAAGCTGGTTATGGGAACCGCCATAGCGTGGTCGCTGTCGCACGTTGGGTTAGACTTAACTGAGTCTTGGTCAAATGGATGGACGACTCATAGGTAATAAGTTGGGGTCATCAATGACAAGTCGGATGATTTTACTCACTCATCCAGCCAGGAGTTGGATCTTTATGATTTAATTGGAACTCTATTCCTAACCAAAGTAGTCTGCTTGTAAGACGTGCCTCAGCCAATTACAAGTATGGTGAAAAGGTGTCCTGGTCCGGTTGTAGTAATAATGTTCGCCCAACACCAGACCAAGAGCTGAGAGCCCGGCTCATCAGTTGGAACTATGTTCCTACCTAAATAGTTGTCTTGTGGAGTAACGCCCAAGCGGAACGCAAGATAATGAAATATGGATCTTGGCCCACTAGAGGTTTCGCCAGAACTCTCCGAATTAATATCGAGGGTTATTGATTTGTTAAAAATAGTGGGAGATAATTAATTAAATGCCTAATTAATTATTAAACATGATAGATAACCTAGTTTGCAAAATTTTCTGTAGATGGCAAACAACAACAACCCTTTCAACCTGCGTTACATCCTGGAAAACAACAAGTTATCTGGGACCAACTTTCTTGACTGGGAGATGAACCTTCGAATCGTTCTTAACTGTGAGAGGAAACTCTACATCCTCGAAACGGATCCTCCCAAGACCCCTGATGCTAATGCTCGTGCGTCCGAACTCACTTCCTTCAAGAAGTATGAGAACGACGCGCGAGATGTAAAGTATGACAGCGGAGCTCCAAAGGCTCCACGCGGACATGGAAGTGCGTCCTATGATACAATGCTTAAGAGACCTTTACGAGGGTCAACCCCAAAACTCAGGTATTTACGTTATCGAAGTCAATATGTCTGATATCACCTCTTGGGTGATGGATACTGGATGTGGTTCTCACATCTGTACTTCTATGCAGAACTTGCATGAATGTAGACAATTGACGGAGGGAGAGATACAACTAAAAGTCGGCAATGGCGCACTCGTCTATGCATTGGCCGTCAGAACCTATAGTTTATCTCTATCTAGTGGTCTAATATTGCATTTGAATAATTGTCTGTTTGTACCTAGTATGAGCAGAAACATCATTTCTGTATCCTGCCTTGACAAAGCAGGATTTTCATTCGTTGTAAAAGACAAAACTCTTTCTGTCTTTAGAAATGATATATTTTATGCAAGTGCAAAAATGACCAACGGTCTCTATGTCCTTGACATGGATACCACAATATATAACGTAGATGTTAAGAGAAACAAA